CAGCGGGATGAATTCGTCGATGTCGACGAACACACCCTTCTTATCAGGGTGCAGGCCTCTACGTAGCTTACGCATGTTCTTCACACCAGCCACCGTAGGAGGGGCGCACTTACGCCCAAGGCCTATCACAACTCCACCGCTGCTATAAAACTTGCACGACATGCAAAGGAACAGGTGAGAATTATCAGTGCCTGGGAACGCGATCACCCTATGCCCGAGACGCTCCAGAACACACCTGTCGAGCCTGCTGCAGCCCGCACACTCCGAACCGCCACACGGCCTGGAAGAAGCTCTGGAGCCTCGCAAACAAACACTGCACCTCCAAAAACTTCCTTGGCGTTCCCAATCGTGCTCAAGCGTGAGCCGGGATGAACTCGGTGGCTTTGGCGGCTGGACTCGCACTAAGCCACGAAACTCGACTTTGGGCCAGAGCGGGAGCAACGCTGCTCCGCCCATCAGCACGGCCCTCGCAGTCGCTAGCGTGCGACTTAAATCCTCAGCCTCCGTCGGCGTCATGGTCGGGTGGCGCCTAGCACCCTCCTTCGCCTCGACGTCGGCATACGCATTACCCAACCTCCGAAAGCGCTCCTCCGCCGACAAGCCCTCCTCCTCCACATCTTTGTGGGCCGCCACTTTGTGGAAGCCCTCGCAAAACCGGCCAAAATGGTGGCGAGCTTGAATGACGAAGCCAGCATACTGTCGGGCTGGGCCTATAGCCTCAGCGCCTCCAAGATTCTGCAGCAGCACCACGTTAACACAATCTGAGTAGCACTGAGCTGGGCCCTCTGTGTACAACGCCGTCCAGGCAAAGGCCCCGAATTCAGCGGCCTGGGGGGTCTGGGGCCAAGGAGCCCAGAGGGGGCCTCTGATAACCCCAAGCTTCCCCCCAGACTCCGAGATCATGACAACAGACCACCCAGCCCTAGACAGCTCTCTAACCTGATGCCTAGTGCAGGACCCATCCATGAAAATGTGCCCCCAGACGCCGCCCCTGGGAACGATGGAGGGGGGCGAACCTGGCCTGGCAGGATCAGGGGGCAGGTCCGCATACCAGTCCACCGTGACACCGTCGGGCGAGATAGCAGGCTTGGGAGCCCAATCCCCAGGATGTCTAAACGCACCATGTAGCCACAGAGCTCTAACCTCGGGGTCGTTCTCTGGCACCTCAAGCGCCGCTTGCTGGATCCACTTCGTCATGTGCACGTCCCGCTCGGCCTGCACGCACGGGCACGCCCAGAGGCGGTGAAACAGGGTGTCCTTGGCGCCGCAGCCCAGCGGGCACAAGCTGGAGATGGGATAGCCTAGGTCAGCGGCGTCGCCTGCAATCCAACAGGCATTGGTGGCAAGAGCACGGATCATACCCTTCTGAACCCCAGGAATTTTCTGGGAAGCGAGAAGCCTCTTCGGAACGCCCCAGCAGAGACGAAAACCAGCCCGAAACTTGTCCCCCGACTCCCGCTCGAGACTCCTAAAGACCGCCTCCTTGCAAAAAAGCTGCACCAGCCTGGGCGGCGACAGCGTGAGGGAAATCTCGCGACCGACATCGTCAACGAGGGTGGTGAAATTGGGCATGGTCCACCCAAGCCTGTACAGCGACATTCTCAGCCCCGAGATGGGTCCCGAAACTTTGGCCCAGGTCCAGTCCTCCTTGTCGAAAACAGAACTCCAACCAGCCCGAAGTTCAGCCCAACTCAAGGCCCACTCAAAGGCCCTCGTCTGACGAATCCACACCTCCTTGGCCCATCGAATGATAGGGGCACAACTGGCCATCCACGTGGGGTCCCCTTCCAAAAGACACAAAACCGAAAGGGGCCTTCCCTGGGCAGAAGGTTTAACGCACGACATGGCCATTCGTCGAAGCGTAAGCAGCTCACGGTCAGAGACCCCGTACAAGTCCGACCCGTCGACAGCCCCCGCTAAGGGACCCGAAGCGAAAACCTCGACCACCTTGCGGCCCAGCGTGGGGCCCAACTTCCCGAGACGACGAGCTTTCCTGAGAGCCGCAGCAGCCCTCTGCTTGACTTTGGCACTCCTGTTATTTCCAGGAGCTCTGACCGCTCTGCCAGCAGTGTAATCCACACCTAAGTTGGTCACGCGAGTGCAGGCTGGATCGCCGACTAAGCCCCCGAGCTCGGCAAAGAGCGCAGCCGAAACGTGCTTGCTGCTGGAGACCATGCCAACCTTATCCATAGCCAGCTTGCACTTGAGCGTCGACGTGATCGCAGAGTGCAGAGCTCTGGCGCCTGAAACTAGATGTTTCAAAACAAAGCTGGGCTTGCCATTCGCGCTGAGGCTTAAATCGTCAACGTACACATCAAAATCAGGTCCCCTCGGAATGGAGTCGAAAGCCTCCAAAGCAAACACCCTAATAAGGCTCGTCGCGAAGGTGCAACCCGCGACGACCCCGTTTAGGGCAAAGAAAGGGCCGTCGACGACTCCCCCCGAGGTCATGAATCTCGCGCACGAGTAGGCATGACTGGCAAGGCGCGCGATGCCTAGGGGAAACTGATGCTGCTTGCACTTAGCCCAGAGAAAGTCGAGGTCGATATGTTCGTAGTACTTACGCAGGTCCCAAAAATAGAAGCACTAGTCTGACCTCTGGCCGCCCCCGGCTCCGCTCTGAAGCCCTGCCTCCAGACAACGTCCCCCGCCCCGCGGTGGGCCCCCGCCGCCCAGTAAGAGCGGCTGTGCTGGAGTTCCCAACGGAGAGCTTCAAATCGGCGGCACCTGCCCCAGACGCGGTACCAACTGGAGAAGATCCCAATGGGTCGGGAACCCCTACAAGGCTTGGCCAACAAAGCGACCAGCACCCAAGAGAGCTGGACAGACAGGGACCCCGTGGCCTCCATGACCGAGAACCACAGAGACATGGCCATCAGAGCCTCGTCAGAGAGCAGGCTGAAATGACGGCAGTGGAAGCCGTCCAAGCTGACAGCAGAAGCGGGCCGATATGTCTTAAACATGGCCCTGATGATGTCGGGCTCGAGAGGGGGAGGGCATGGCAATAAATCCTTACCGCACAGGCCCTGGCCACAACCGTCCCCCCAGATGGAGACGAACTTGGCCGATTCAGCCTTGAGCAAGCTCATGGGATCTGACGCCGCGACGCCCGAGCGGGAAAGAGTCGTGGTGGGGGCCCAGGCCACAGGGTCCCGAATAGCCTTCGGCGCATTGCGCGACCCTTTCTCGAGCCCCTGACGCACCCATTCGTTCCATGCCTTCCGAGACGACTTGGCCACGGATGCCTTAGCAGTAGCACAAGCTCCAGAAACAACGCCGATGTGCCGATCGAGGTCGGCGGCCAGCTCAGGATCGCCCACCGAGCTAAGCAAACTGCGCGCTAAGCCAGCGGCAGTGCGAAACAAAGGCGCATAGGCTGAGTTATCCGCCACAGCCACCGTCCTCGGCGGCTCCGCGAGCGCCGCCAGCACCTGACGGCCTCCCTCTAGAAGGCCCTCAGGGCTCAAGTAGCACCTGGAAGCACGAAGTTGACTGCTCAGCCAAAGCACCGACCTGAGGGTAGGGTCAGGCTCACGGCCACCTTCCTTTAAACGGCCTTTCCAAAACATCTGCGGCCGCTTCGCTCTGGCTCCCTTGGGAACCTTAACCCCCAAGATAGCGCTGAGGTCACCCTCGGCCGCGTTGGCCCACGCACGGTACCCAGGGGCCAGCAAAGCACGAGCACGATCCCCATCCCCCTCCTGCACAACCCGATAAGCCTCACGCGCCGACCCAAGAGGGACCTCCCACGACCCAGGCTCAGGCTGCGGGCCAACCGGCGGCACCGCAGGAAGGTCCGGCGGTCTTCGGAAGACAAGAGCCTTGAGATCACCAACAGACGCATGGAAGCGCAAAGACACAGGCCTGTGAGGGTGGATGGGCGAGTCCCCTTGCACATAGATCTGCTTGAGACCGAGGGAAAGGGCATGGGACACGACGAAACAATCAAAGCGTTCGGGGGGGCCAACACTAGGGAAATGGGTATGCCCTTGGGAACTGACAATCACCCCATTGATCTTCGCCTGGAAGCCCGAAGCAGCCAAGGTCTCTGGGGGGAAATTCCAGTCGGCCCCTATGATGAACTCACACTCTAACCCCCCTACGAACTCCCCCACATATTTTAAGATTGACAAGTTCGCCTCTGACAGACCTTCGCTGTGGCAGAGGTAGAGGGAGAGGACGCAGAAGGTGGCGCACCCTGGCACGTGCACCATGGCACATATCGCGCGGCCCTCGGCCAGCACGGTCCTGTCCTGGTGCTCAAACATGCCGAGCGCGTCACGCACAAAGACGCCGACCCCAGAGGAGGTGCCCCCACCTTCGCCAACAATACCTGGGGCCCAGAGCGACTTCCATCCCAGATACTTGGCCCCTTTCGAGGCCGTGGCGATATCGTCGTCCCCCCGCAGGCGATGCTCCTGAGCGATAACGATATGCGAGGCACTGCTCATAAGGTAGCCTTTCAAGGTGCCCCAGCTGTTGGCGTTCACGGTGGACACCAGCAGGCCTTCGTCGAGCCCGCAACTCTGTGGCCTGGCAGGACCAGTCGTCGCTGGAGGCGCAGGGGCGGGGGCTGACCAGTCAATAGCCCCACCCCGACTGGAGGCCCTGACCGTACTTGCCCCAGCAAAAAATCTGATTGCGGCAAGCGTGCGACCGCAGCCGTGGCTGCGGAACCATCGCTCAACGTCTGATCTGCCAGGCCAGGGAGAGGAGAGGGACGAGGATCAGGGATTGCACGGTCACCTGGGGGCACAGGATGAGGGTCCCAAGGGAAAATTGGAGCAGGAAAAAAGTCGGATCCTTGAGACATAGAGTGCATCTTGCGCGCCAAGCGCAAGCCAGACTTCTGGACAGAAGAGCCAATAGATGAGACTCGATTCGCCAAAAAGTTGCAAACATGGAACCAGTCATCCGAGCTCGGGGTGCCACTAACCAAACCACTAGGCCACCCCCCCTCAGGCGAGGGGGGGGGGCACCCCTGACAAATGCTGGTCAACCCGAGCTCGGATGTCAGTGGCTGCGGCGGCTGCGACAGGCCTCGCAGCAGGCTGAGATGCGGCGCCTGGCTCAGAAGGCGCAGCAGCTTCTCCTCCCCCTGCGGCTGCGCCACGGCCTGCGTCGTCAGCGTCCTGAGCAGGAAGTCCTTCGCCATCGTCTCCTTTGCGCCGCTTGCGCTGCAGCCGCGATGTGTGAGCCAGATGAGCTGCCTTGACCTCCGCAGCCGTGGAGGTGAGCTGCTCGAACAGAGACTTGGACAGGTCCTGCACACCTATCTGCAACTTCTCCAGCCTCGTCTGATACTCCTTGCGATCCCCCTCAGTGACATCGTACTCGCTGCTTTCGAACTCCTCCATGATGTCAAACTTGATGATACTCGTGAGATCGAACTTGCCCTCCATGATACCCCGCAGCGGGATGGCTGGGGCGCTGCACGGCCCAGGCGCCGCGCCTGCACCCGTCGCCCCTGCACCGCTGCAGTCACGAAGCCGTTCCACTGCTGCTTTGTACTCCTCATCCGCCTTGCAAAGCTGGTCCCGCGACTGGCGAACCAGCTCCTCCAGCTCTGCGGCCTCCTGCTTCCATTTGAGCAAGCGAGTGAGCTGACCCTCGAGCTGCTTCTCCAGGCGACGGACTGCTGCATGCTGCTGTTGAACCAGCTGATGAACATTGATCTCCGTGGGCTTGCTGGCAGCCTCCAGGCTGGCCGCCACATCGGCATAGTACTTACCCCTCGTAGCATCTCCCGCCTGGTACGACAGGGAGGCCATCTGCTTAGCCTCTTCGACAGAAAGAGCAGGAACGGGTCCAGCGGGGAGCGGCGGGGCACTCCCACCCGTCCCTGCTGGCTGCAGCTGACCTCCTGGGGTCGAACCATGCCACTCGAACCGAAATGTATCGTTGAAACCCTTGCCTTTACCCTTGCCGTAGCCCTTGCCTGCAGTCCCTCCTTTGCACCCCGAGGCAGTGCCAAACCACCCAGGCGGTCTCGACCAGTAAGACTGAGCACGAGGGCCAGAGCGATCAGGAGTAACTGGAACTTGGGGAAGCGGGCCATGACAGTTTTTGCACCACTTCGCCGAGGGAGCGTTCTTGCGACATCCACACCCTGGGCACTTGCTGGGCGACTTGTAATTGTTGTGCCACTTGCCACTGCCCTTGACCTGCCACTCCCCTTCACCGTCATCACCCTCCGATGCTTGCACCCACGGGTTATACGTGAAACGAGAGGAAGTAGGAGCCATCGAGGATGTGGGCAGGAAAAGTGACAATTCAATAGCCTGAACGTGATGTGAAATGAACCTGGCGGGCGAACGCCAGGGAAAGCGGACGGGGGCCGCGCAATCCCCCCTGCCAAACCACAAATCCTTGAGCAACCGCTACGGACTTGAGCCAAAATGGCTACGGACTCCTCCTCATACTCCCTTCTCCTCCTCGTCCTCCTCCTCCTTCTCCTCCTCCTCCTCCTTGTGCCGGATCTTCCTCCCAAATTGTCTGCTGACGGCCCCGTGGCCAGGCAACGGCACCCCGGGACCGAAGCACCGCCACCCCACAGGTGTCGTCCGCCGCGAGGGTCTCTACGAAGGCCGCTCACCAGTCAACTACACGCAAGAGTCACCCTGGGTAAGAGTGATCTTTGGTGCGCGGATTTGGGGGGGCCGCGGGGGAGGCCAAACCCAAGCGCGCAAGACGCTACCACTGCATCACATTCCGCAATGCGATGGTAGCGCCAAAGGTCACTGTGGCGAAAGGTCACCATTACGTCTGGTCGAACCAGGCGGGGCTAGCGCCTCCGAAGCCCCCCCCCCCGGCCCCCCTGAAGGCCGACCCGCCCCCCTCACCCTATGCTTAGGTCGGGCATGTCCTCCTACCCGCAGATTTTGGAATGAAAACCAGAAATAGTCAAGCAATGCTCAAAACGAATCCACGATAGTCAAACAAATCGTCCCCAGACTATGGTCTGACTATGTTTGAAGATTCCTCCTGTAGACGGACATGCCCGACTTACACATATGCCCTGGTGCGCGCCGCCAGCGGTCCCCATCCCCGGCATCATCCCGGGCATCACGCCCGGCATCATCCCCATGCTGGGCATGCCCATCATGCTAGGCATCCCCATGCCTGAGGGAACCACGACAAGTACTCCGCATGGGATAACAATCGCTCCTCCCTTGGGTTCGGGGGACGGGATGGGAGGGGATGGATCTGGGGGAGGGGGGGGAGATGGCTTTGGAGGGAGGATGGGGCTCGTGGGGGGGGGGGGGATGGGGAGACCGCGTCGAGAGGGTGTGGGGAGGGGTTGAAAATTTGGACGCGAGGTGAGGGGAGGTCGGGGGCGATGGGGACGCTCCGTCGGAACGTTGGTCGCCCCCCCAGCCCGATTATAGTCCCGTCCGGAGTACACAAGCACAAACCTTAGGATGTCCGCGCAGAGTTCTTGCGTCGTCGCTGGCGCCTCCCCTTCCAGGTGCGGCGACGGAGGCGCCGCCAGAGAGGGTTCCAGCACCGACCCAGTAAATCCGCACGGGCCTCCGAAAGACGGCCAACGGATTGATGATCATTTCAGCCGTGATGCTTTGAGAACACACGTCGTCGGATCGCCTGGGACGCTGTCATCCCAAACACCCGAAGACATGCTTTTTCAGACCGTGGCTCCAGAGCTCCGGGCCCCTTCCCCAGGGGGACAGCCATCTGCTACTCGCAAGAGTGACCCTAGGCAGCAGTTGACCTTTGGTGCGCGGACTGAGGGGGCGCAAGGTGGCCAACTCCAAGCGCGCAGGCAGCCGCCATCGCACTGCGCCCAGCGATCGGAGGGAACCAAGATGAGCCCGCACCAGAGGTCACTCCGGCGACGGGTCACTCGCACGTGTAATCTTGACAATCGCCGGGTCCGAGGACAGCCCCCTGAGGCCGAGGTTTGGGAAAAGCGCCCAGACTGGACCGAAAAGAGCACCAAAAAAAACCTTCGGACGCCCAGGAGTCTCTCTCCTCGAGTGCTGGGCATCGCCTCCCAGGCCCCTCCCTGGGCCCCGGGACCGACGGCCTGGGATACAACAAACAATCGGCCCTGGAAAAAGCTCCCTGGTCCAGGTCCGATTTCCGCCAGGACTTCCCCCCCTCATGCCCACAGACAGTGACGAGGAGGCGGAGGAGGAGAAGGAGCTGAAGGGGGAGGTCGCCGTCGAACGGCGGTATGGGCCAGGCGAGAGCGAATTCGGGAGGATAGCCACAGCGACAGCAGGGACCCTTACTCACGAGAGGGTGGAGGCTCGAGGCTCGAGGCTCGAGGATCGAGGGTCGAGGGTCGAGGATCGAGGAAGAGGGGGGAGAATCAAGGATCGAGGCTCGAGGATCGAGGGTCGAGGGATCGAGGCTCGCGGATCGAGGGTCGAAGCTCGAGGGTCCAGGACCGAGGGTCGAGGATCGAGGAAAGGGGGGGCAGGGTCAAGGATCGAGGCTCGAGGCTCGAGGGTCGAGGCTCGAGGCTCGAGGATTGAGGGTCGAGGATCGAGGCTCGAGGCTCGAGGCTCGAGGCTCGAGGATCGAGGGTCGAGGGTCGAGGATCGAGGAAGGGGGGGGGGGCAGGGTCGAGGAGCGAGGCTCGAGGACTTGGACAGCAGCTCTTGGCCACACCGCCCCTCGCGCCAGGCCAGCCGCGCATGCCCGGGCCCTGCTCGGCTGCACGCAGGGAGGGGCCCCGGGCAAGAGTGGGCAGCGTTTCACCGACCCCTGACCCGCATGAGCGGGGCCCAGGCCCCATGGGCCGTTTGGCCCCTTGGATGGGGATACAGGCCGCTCCCCTCGGGCTTCGAGGCGTGCGTGTCCCCAAGTGGGGTGCAGGGATGCGGGGGGTCTGGATGGGCATGGTGCTGGGCATGGCGATCGGTGCAACGCTGCCGAGCGAGTGGCCTCCGGTGCGCGGCTCTCCAGGGCCCGAGCGAAACGGTGCCTGTCGCTCTCGTTTCGCCTCCGTTGGGGGAACAATCTTTTTTTTTGGGGGGGGGTCGGCGGGGCGAGAGCGAACCTCTTCCGCTAAAAGCTAGGCGGGCTACGCACCTCCCCCCCCCTCCCCCCCCCCCCCCCGTTGGGGGAACGCATAGACATTCAAATCTCGGAGGCCCGCGCGGATTCCTCGGATCAGCGCCGGGGCCCCCTGGCGGCGCCTCCGGGGCGCCCCCGCGCGCCAGGCAGTGGGGGTTCAGCGCCGTTGCGAGGAACCCGCGCGGGCCTCCGAGTTGTTATGCTCGTGTCACTGTTTGTTCCCCTCCTCGTTCTCCCTCTTTCCGTCCACGTTCTGCCTTCGCTCCGAAGCAAAAACGAGACAAGCGCATTCCACGACTCGCAGAGTAGCTATGCACTCGCCAATCGCCTGGGCCCGCCGCGGGGGATCTGCGATGTATTTCCTCGAGGCAGCACACATGTTCTTTCGGACGTGGGCGAGCGGGCACTTCGCGAGCAGTGGAGCGCGCTCGGCGGAGAACCAAAACGAGAAAAGGGTCCACGACATTCCCAAAACGCCGTTTGGCTCGATGCCGCGGACCGTGGGGGCGGGGGTGGGGGGGGGGGGGAGGGCGAAGCCCAGCGCGCAGGCCAGGGCTGGGGGGGACCCCTCGTGAGCCCGCACCAGAGGTCGATCACTCCAGCGAGGGGCCACCCCTGCAGTCGAGCCTGACCTCGAGTCGGGCATGACCCTCTACTTGAGCACGGACCGACCGTCCCGGCATTCCTGTAGGCCTACCACGGCATGTTCTTCGAACCCTGAGATGTTCCAGTCACAAAAACAATGTTCTGATAGCATACGTTCAATGTGTCAAAACAAGATATTCCCCGCCAGAAATGTTATCAAAACATTTCGTGCAAACCAAAGAAGATTCTTAGAACATTATTTGGCGAACCTACAGGCGAGCCAGGACGCGCTTGATCTACAGGAGGCAAGTCCAACACATCCTGAAAGAATCATATGGGGACGATGCTTCGACTCGTTTTGACCGTCTCTTGAATGTTGCTTGACTGGTTTCATCCTTCCTCCAACATCCACCTCTAGGAGTACAGGACACGCCCGACCCGATGCCAATCGAACCCGACTGCACGTGCACCCGACACGTGCAGCCGACCTGCACGGGCACCATGCCGGGCAGCAGGCCGCCCGGCATCATGGGCGTGGCCGGGCCGCCGCATCGCCCGCCGCCGAAGGGCCGGGCCAGGGGCGACGGGGCGCCGCGGACACCCGCGGCGAGGAGGACGCCTCGGAGCCAGGACGGCCTCTCCTCCTCCTCCTCCTCCTCCTCCTCCTCCTCCTCCTCCTCCTCCTCCTCCTGCTCCTCCTCCTCCTCCTCCCCCTCCTCCTCCTCCTCCTCCTCCTCCTGCTCCTCCTCCTCCTCCTCCGGGGGAGATCGGCTCGGGGGGGAAAAAGCGCCGGCCCCCACGTAAGACGAGAGGCCAGGACGAGGATGACGTCGGGTGCGGATGAATCGAGGTCTCGGAGGTCCGGCAGCTCCATACTACCCTCGTCAAAATTAACCTCAAAAGTTGCTGGCACGTCATTTCGATTTCGGCGCGCCCCTCAATGTCGACACGCCGCCCCTTCAATGTCGGGGCGAGGGCAAAGATAGTCTGACCGAAGTTGACTCGAAAGTTTGACGTCGACCGACAGTGGAGGGGCGGCGCATGCAAGTACCCCGCACTCATCGGTACTCGGCCCCAGATCTTCCGACGAGCAGTTCAACCACGTCAGACATTTTTGAGGTTAATTTTGACGAGGGTTGTAGGATGCCTCGGG